TTCTTTAGATAATTGTTCCTTTTCATGGTTTACATCCTCAGATTCGTCAATTAGTTCTAGAAGTAACCCAGATAACCTTTCTTTAGACAACAATTTAATCTTGTTTAGCAGTGGTACAACTTTGGATTATGCTGTACTCATTTGGACCAAGTCCACAAACAAGCCATTTCTTGGCTTTAGCATTCTTCTCCCATTTTTTCAAGTCCTCAGCAGTGCAATCCGCTCTTGTCTTTGGCACCTCTACTCCTTCAGCATTTATCTTCAAGGTAGCCAGTGGACCATCGGTGACAATGTCCCATAGCTCATAGTCCTCTCCTATAATGTGATCTCTCATCCTATTTTTCCACCAAGAGTAGTACTGGACATTAAAGAGTGGTGGCCTAGCAGTGGATTGCCCTTCCCAGTTTCCAGGTGGTGCACTCATCTTGATCTTCTCCTAAGGTGTTAGCCTCTTCAAGGATAACCCTCTCTGATACCAATTGATATTTCATACTTCAATACCACACAAGAGAGGGGGGTGATTTGTGTGGTGTTTAATTTTTGCGTGCACTGATTGTAGAAGGACCTGGTTCTTCTAAGTGTTCCTTATACTACTGTTGCGGAAATAGTAAATATGGAAAGTAAAGAACACAAGTATTTTTACGTGGAAAATACCCGACTCAAAAGGTGAAAAAACCATTACCTACTACTCAGTAGGGTTTTCTCTGACACTTCACTTAATCACTGAGCCAAAATAGCATTTACAAAACTCTTTGTAAACCTAAGGATTACCTCTAATCCCGTTGTGGCAACCAGCCTCTAACTGTTGCGACAACTTCAAGTTAACTCTAACTTGAATACTCAGAGTACCTAATACAATTGCCTCTAGATAAAGCTGAAAGGTACAATTTGAATATACCTACTACAATGAAACTAGAAACACTTGAAACTGGTTCTTCAATCTGGCTCATGTAGCTTCAGGTTCGCACATTTGAATCACACAAGAATTGTTTGCAAAATGCCTTGCTATTTTGCTCTCAACTCACGTTTAGCTTCAACGTTTGTGCATACCTTTAGAATGAGAACATCCTGTAATATATTGAGTTAGTAGAATAAGAAATAACTAAAGTTCTAATGCTACTCTTCCTTGGTGGAAGTGTTCTAGCTATCTTCAACTTCTAACTCCACCCTTATCTTGGATAAAGTTCTCTTTGAGTAAGGAGTCCTTCTCCTTATCATTTATGCAATATTTTCAATCAGGAGATATCAGATATAACAACTTAAGCTTATCTCCTTCACGTTCATCCCTTATGCTCGAATCTGCCCGTGTCTGTGTACACTGTATATGGACCTAGTTCATACTCGAGTTCCTTTGTCAATCATAAAAACAAACTTCACTTGGGCCAACACTTACTCACCTTGCTGCCGATGAATTGTTTTTCGTTGTCGCAAACAATTACGGCATGTATCCCAAATCAACATATTATGTGATCCCAGATGAAGTCAATGACTTCTTTCTCTCGAATCTTTTCAAACGCTTGAGCCTTGACCCATTTGGAAAAATAATCGGTCATGAACAGTATGAATTGAGCTTTATCAGGTGTCCATGGCAGGGGACCGACAATGTCCATTCTCCACTTCATAAATGGCCACGGAGACAGGACCGAGTGGAGAATTTCTCCCGGTTGATGGATCATCAGGGCATGTCTTTGGCACTCATTGCACTTCTGTACGAAGTCTTTTGCATCCTTCTCCATTTCGGTCCATTAATAGCTGGCTCTGATTAGCTTCTGAATTAAGGATTATGCCCCCGAATGGTTCCCATAAGTTCCCTCGCAAACTTTTCTCATGGCGTATTCGGTCTCCCCCGGTCCCAAGCATCTAGCTAGTGGGCCAAAGAAAGACCTTCTGAACAATGTCCATTCGACCAAGCTAAATCTGGCGGCTTTGGTGCGCAGGGTTATCGATTCTTTAGGTTCCGAAGGCAATTTTCTTATCTTCAAGTAGTCTATATATTTGTTTCTCCAATCCCAAGTTAAAATCATTGAGTTCACTTTGGCGTGGCCTTCTTCTATCACCGAGTTCATTAGTTGCATTACTGCTCCTGAGCTGAATTCATCGGAAGCGACCGACGACCCCAAGTTAGCCAGTGCATCGGCCTCACTTTTTTGATCTCGGGGTACATGTTGTAGGGTCCATTCCCTGAATTGGTGTAGGGTTACCTGCAATTTGTCCAAGTACCTCTGCATCTATTCTTCTTTTACATCGAAAGTTCTGTTAACTTGATTTACAACGAGGTGGGAGTCACACTTGGCTTCGATCACTTCGGCCCCCAGGCTCTTAGCCAATTCTAGACCTGCAATCATGACCTCATACTCGGCCTCATTTTTAGTCAATTTCACAGTTATAATAGACTACCTAATTATATTTCCCGTAGGTGGTTTTAATATGATACCGAGTCCGGACCCCTTCGCGTTGGAGTCACCGTCCGTGAAGAGGGTCTAGATTCCCAAAATAGTCCTTAAGGTTAGCAGTAGTTCCCTTTGACTTGGGGTATTAAGGCCAACGTAAAGTCGGCCACGAAGTCTGCTAAAATTTGAGATTTAATAGCGGTTCGGGGTCTATACTCAATATCGTACCCGCTAATTTTTACGACCCATTTGGCCTACCGGCCCGAGAGCTCGGGCTTATGCATGATATTCCTCAGCGGGTAAGAGGTTATGACATATATAGGGTAGCATTGAAAGTGCGGCTTTAGCTTCCTGGAAGCGCTTAGCAAAGCGAGCGCTAATTTTTTCAGGTGAGGATACCTTGGTTCGGCCTCGCCTAGAGTTATACTAACATAGTAAATAGAAAATTATGTACCTTCTTCCTCCCTGACTAAGACACCACTTACCGTCGCCTCGAAAATCGCCAAGTAGAGGTACAGTTGTTCGTCTGCCTTCAGAGTGTGTAGTACAGGGGACTCGATAGTACCATTTGAGTTCTTCCAAAGCTTGATGGCATTTCGGGGTCTAGGAAAAGTTATTCTTCTTCTTTAATAGTGAGAAGAATTGGTGGCTCTTGTCCAAGGACCTCGAGATGAACCGGCCCAAGGCGGCTATACACTCGGTCAGTCTTTGAACGGTCTTGACATTATCCACCATGGTGATGTCATCTATGGCCTTTATTTTATCGGGGTTGATCTCGATACCTCGATTAGATACCATGAACCCGAGGAATTTGCCCGATCCGACCCCAAATGCACACTTCTCCGGGTTTAGTTTCATGTTGTATTTCTTTAGTGTGTCAAATGTCTCCTGCAAATATTTCAAATGGTCCTCTGCTCGTAGGGAATTGACCAACATATCATCAATTAAAGACCAAATAAGCGATCAAACCAATTGCGATGTTATGGCCAAGCCTGAACTTAGATTGAATAGTGACCTCGCCCTCGATTGGACCCTCGGTTCGAGCCCTGTCGTAAATGAAGAACAGGATAAGTGAACAAAAACTTTATCAATAGCTAAAAGGCATAAAATAAACTTGTATTACTTTGATTCACGTGTTATTGTGTGTGTTACAAAAGAAAAAGGTTTTCTTTATATAGTAGGAGAGTTTTACCCCTAGTATAAGTTTTAAAAAGGTAAAAATCTTCCTTTCTTGTTAATTACTTAATCATAACCGTCATCAAGCGAGATCCGTACTGTGATATCCGCTTGGGTCCTAATATCACGACCCTCTATTCGTCGCGTGTAACCGTTCACCGTGTTTCCCGAGGTCTTACAACTCATTCTTGGCCGGGACGCGTCGCTTTACCATACCCAATGACGAACACATCCCTCACTCTTCCTGGATCTCGATACGAAGAGTCTCTAACCTCGATTACAATCTCGTGCACCCGTGCCCTTCTTCCGTTTTCTCGCCGAGAAATCGAGGTAGACATTACCCCCGATTTTACCCATACACAAGCATGTTAGGTGTTTGTCATGATTTTCTTATTATATTTAGTTTTCCTATTCCATGAAGGAAGGACAATATATTTACCATAATTGATTTTTTTCTTTTATATAAAGGAAAATATAATTCTTCCATATTTGGCTAGTCGCTTTTCTTGGAGAAAAACGTTTGGACTTCTATAAATTGAGGATCCTTCCTTCTCATTTAGTAGCATCCACAATGTAGCCATATGAAGTTTGAGAGTCTTGTTTATGGGGAGAACTTTTCGAGACAAGTGTTAGTATGCCACTTGTGTTTGTCTCTTTCTGAGATTATTCTCTCGATATTTTGTACTCTTTTTGATATAGTGGATTGCTCATCTCTGCCGTGGATGTAGGTCAATTGACCGAACCACATTAAATATTTGTGCCTCTTTGATATATTTCTCTTCTGTTATTTATTTTATCGTCGTTCAAATGTTGCTTTACTAGCTTCCGCATGAACCTGAATATTTCGATCCTAACACATCGAAATCAAATACTTCTTGGCATGTAACTAACTTTTGCGACATGTTGTAATAGAATACTGTTAAGCTTGTAACTCGTCTAAATGATACAAACTCGACTAAGAGGGGACCTTGAACTCTAGATTCTAAAAGTAGCGCAAGTGCTAAATAGGTATCTTGCTATACTTGAATTTTCTGACAAATGTTATTTACTCATGAGGCATGTTAACCAATTATTCAAGTTATAAGCTAATCTATTTTAACATGAGTTTTCACACATCATTATTTACTAGTCAAACAGACAAATTTGAGATTATAGACTGCTCTATGACAAACTCTGTCAAACATGAAACAGAAACACTCGTCTTCATTGTTTGTTCAGAGTATAAAGGATATTAAAATATTTTTTTTGGGAATCATAACTTGTGTTGAAGAAGCACTTAATAATTGGCAATGATAAGTCATTGGATTCTACTGGTTAGGAATGAAAGATTCTTAAGTTGGTATATTGCATGAGCTGTTAAACTTTCTTCCCAGCTTGCAGAATGGTAACTACTAATAAAAACAAGAAAAAGACACTTATTAAAGCCAGAGAGTGTGATTATAACTTTTTTTTCTAAACTTTTCAAGTTTATCTTGACGTAAAATAATTAAACATGTCTATTACAATTTCATTGCTAATATCATCAAAAATTAAATCAGCAATCACCTTACCTATTTCCCTTTTCTCCTCAAATCCACTTGACTGTTCAAAAGAATTCAACAGGTCAAAATGCATTAAGTTTTTAATATTAGTTTCATTTATAGAGTCTTGACTCCATAACCTTATATTCTCCAATAGAAGCTCCCAAAGTTGCTCAGCTCCTAACATTCTTTGAAATCCTTCTTCTTCTTGAGGATCTTTCCTTTTCTGATTCTCTACCACTTCCTTCACACAGTCAAAAAGGAGCTGTCTTGATTGTTGTATTGCTTTCTTGCTATTAATGTACTGAGACTCAGGACTTGTTTCCTCTGATTTAGAAACTGATGGGGTTGAAAATTCCACTTGTAACTTCTTTGGCTTGACACATTCTTGTTCTGTTTTTGTTACATAAAAGTAGTTAGAGTTAAGATGTATATTTACACTAAATTCTATATGATTAAAGAAAGTTGCTATCATAAAAAATAGTACTAGTACTTACTTTTAAGATCTGGGGATTCCTCATCAGAAGATTCAGTTTCTTCTAACACTGACACAGGGCTGAGTTGCTTACTTTCTTCAAGAAAATCCAGTCTTAGCTTTCTGTCTTCACAAACCTGTTACCTTATGAACAACCAATCTGAATTCATAACAATAAAGTCACTAAACTATTCTTTATCACATTAAAACTAATCTCATCGTATGGCCACTGACGTAGCTACATACATTGAAGGGTGGTCAACCCAACACTCTTCACTGAAAAATTATACTGTATATATAGCAACTTATACTGTGTATATAGGTTAAATATTCTTTTTTATGTGTATTAAATTCTGAACACCCTTCGCCTGGCTTTGCCACTGCGTATGGTCACTGATTTTATTCAAAGCCACAATCTATATTTTGTCACATTTAAGTTAATTTTAGTGTATGATCAGTGAACTTTATCGAGTATAACAGTAAAATCACAAACTATTAAGTTTTATATGCATGTTTAGTTGCTGCAAAACCAAGTCTTTACCTGTTTTTCACTGAGAAAGTTTCCATCTACAGCTTGTGGTGATAAATTATCTGCTTCTTCTACATCACTAGTATCTGAACAAGAATTGAACACAGTAGTGCTGCTTGCTGAAGAAAAGTTATCATCATTTGCATTAGTATTGCCTTGGCCATTCTTGATTGTAGCATTATTGTGTTGTTCACTTGCCAAATTCTTGATTTTTTGGTTATGGCTAATGGTAACAAGCTTGTTCAACACAGATTTTACAATCTTAGAACAATTAGGAATGACTTTTCTTTTCTTCTTTGTACCACAACTGGCTGATTTCTTCAAGAATTTAGTAGTAGAATTTACAGAACAGCACCTACAATCGCCATTTGAGCTAAGGGTGTGGCCTCTTTCAAGAAGGTAAAGCTCTAAGGTAAAAGGTTCTTGTTGTTCTAGGAGGAATTCTCCTAGTTGTTTGGACATGTTTTGAAATATTTAGGTTGTAGTGTGGGTGCTAAAAGTAGAAATGAACTTGAACTAGCTATGATGTTAAAGAGAATAAATTTGAAAGACTTAAAGAGAATTGCTGGTCAGGGCAAAAGGATAAGGAATTGGGCATTATTAATTGTGAGAGACAAGTTAAGCATCTGTCTCTTTTTTGTGACAGAACAAGTGTTTGGATCAGAGAGAAATAGAAGAGAAGAACACTGCAGATTTAAATTAAGGGGATGGGGCATTTGAGAAAAGACAATAACATGATTCGCTTTTGTGAAAAAAATGGATTTTTATATTAAAATTTTTACCTAACCTTTTGAGACCATGCAATCTGAAGTCAATGTGCTAGGTATTTCTATAGTTAAACTTAAAGCTACCAAGCCTCGAGAAGGTGGCCCCACCTGAAAGAAAATATATTATTTAAGTTATACACAAAGATTTACATTATTAGGGTAATTTAATCGTGTTATTTGATTTTTTACACTCTCAGCATAGTTTAATGATAACAAATTAGTTACAATTTTTTTCCTCGCAAGGCAGGGGTTCGGTTTGCGTACACACTACCCTCCCCAGACCCTAAGCGTGAGATAATACTGGGTATATTGTTATTGTTGTTGTAAATTAGTTACAATTTTTATCAAGTTATTGGTAATTCCTATCAGACATTTATCTATAATTATTTTATAAATAATTTAATCGTATAAATATTTTTTTACATTACGGGACTTGAACTCAAAAAAAAAAAGAAGCACAAAAATCAACAAAGAGGCATGAACTTACTATAGTATGTGTGGTCCTGATAGGTTTTGGTTTTATTCAAGAGCAGCCTATCTAAAAAAAGCAACAAAGGAACAAAATGAAAATTGATGACTTTTGCATGGGAAGTTTAATTTGGTAACGTGACTGTGTACTGATTAGTCTAAGCAATAAGCTAAAGGAAAGATGAATATTTGTACTATAAAATAATTATTTTTCAACATACTATAAAATATATTGAACACAAAATTTTGGAAATGTTCATCCACAAGTCATAATCAACAAAATTGGGCATCCAGTTAAGTAAATATATAGCGGGATAATTTGTATCTCCTCTATATGCATGTGCATCATCCTCAAACTTCGTTTTCATGTCCCCTTATCTCTTTCCTCTACCTCTTTAATTTGACAAAAAAATTGGTGGGAAAATGTATGTGCTTTTTCTATTGTATTTTGGGAAAGCCACATGGTAACATAAGACTCAAACCTACTTCGTTTCGACATTTTTAAATAACTCATTTTATTACGTAAAGATTGTAATAGTAAAATGTTGATAATTAAGTTTGTGATGAAAGGTAAAATAGCCATTTAATACACTAACCAAGGAGAAAAAGACGCTCGAATATGGAGATAGTTTGCCTCCAACTAGCTTGAAAGACTATGTAGGGAGCTCTTTTGCTTTTAATAAAACTTTCAATATGAGTTAGTCGGGTCGATAAGTTTCGAATACCAGATAATTAATAAAAAAGCTAGCTCGAAAGACTATGCCTGATTATATTATAAATACATAATCATATCTCTTTTACTGTCGATTAATTTCTTGTATATTATAATTAAAATATGTGTAGGCTAAGTGTAATAAGACCCTTCTAAATATCCTTTCGTACACACATATGTTCACTTAAAAATCTAATGATCTAATGATTTAAACTTCATAAACTCCCTAACATTTTTGTTGATTCTTAACTTTAAACCCTAAAAATCCTGGTCGAGCCTAATCAATACTCACTCCGGTTCACAATAAGTGATTTTTTTGCCTTTGTTTGTAGTCCAAAATAAGTGATTTTTTCAGATTTCAAGAATAAATTAATTATTTTTTTTCCTACACTGCCCTTGGAGTAAATAGGGTTGGAGTATGTTTTAGGAGTGTTTATGTGAAGAAATAGTAAAGGTTAATATAGTCAATTTCATTGCTAATTAATGTTAAAAGGTGAATTTTTTAATCTGTGTGAAAACAACCAAAAAATCACTTATTGTGGACCGGATGGAGTAATATGTGGTTCTATGTGTGAGAATGAATGCAATGAACATAGAGCTTCAGCTACCGTTTGATTCTTATGCACCAACAAAAAATAAATGTCTATGATTTTCAGAGCATATTTTTTTCCTCAATAATTGTTGAGACAAGGCGCTGTTTGTTTTCGTTATTATAAAATTACACCTCTTTTTGGGGCCAAATACGAGGAATTCTGCCAAAATCTTCCATTTTGTCTCATATTAGACGAATATTAAATCGCCAACCTCTTCCCTTTTCTTTGGTTTTTAATTTGCATACATTTCTTCCTTTTGTTGAATAACACGCAATAGTATATTATGTATTTATCTTAATATCAGGGGTTGTTGAATTGATTAAATATCATCAAATGTATCAAGAAATTTAATATGATTTCTTCTGTCTATTCTCCATCCATATATTGAGATAGATATTTATAAAGAAACTTGTCTTTCAATCGAGAACGTTTGGAACTCAGGTTTAGCGGATAAAATTAGTACCCGAAACATCACAATCTATCTTGTTTCTGTTAATCTAGCTAGCCGGGGGTTTATCGGATATAACCTTTCTACCTGCATAAGGTACGAGTATGGATACGAACACATTATCCTTCACATGCCTCACTTATGAAATTACACTTGGTCTGTTATTGTTGTTGTTGCTAAACGCACAAATCCTCAAAGTTCTTTTCAGTAAGGACAGACTTTGATTAGGCTTTAAGAGAGACGTGACTATATGAAATGACCAGCGTAAGATATCTAATGGGACTTTTCTTTTCAATTTCATTAATATTTGACGAGGACACTTATATTTATTTTTCCTTGTTCCTTTTTCCCTATTTTCCGTCTGTAATGAAATTGCAAGAAAGTTCAGGGAAAGAAAATGATATAATTGAGCTACAATATTGAACATGAGGTTATAGAGAAGACACGTTATCCATCAATCTTCATTTCCTTTCAAGAATAAGACGCTTACATCTACAAGAAAAGAGAACTAAATGCAAAATAATAAGGTACAAAAATACCCAAGCCTTCAAATCATTTACTCATACCGTCGGTAAACCCGTGACCTCGCGAGAACATAAATGAATTCAAAATTTTAATTAATAAATAAAGAATATTAGCCAATTTTACCTAATATACTTTTGTGACAAATTGCCTCAACTTTAACTTAAATGTAAATATTTTTTAAAAAGTTGGCAGTAGTATAGTAGCAACGTGAAAACTTACTGGCTAGAGATGAAACATTCTCTGAACAGATAGAAAGAATCCTCAGCTTATTACGCCTTGTGCAGATTACAGCAGTTTGAGTAGACAGAGTTATGGGCACAGGGACAGGAGATGCTTTGGTAATGACGTAACTATGGAAGACCATACTGTTTCATGTGCACTTGTTTCAAACTTCAAACATGAAAAGACAAACAGAAACCAAATCTGCAGGTGCTATCTTCATTTCTGCTCACGACAAAACTACTCCTATCAATTATTTGTCTCAGTAAAACCATCCTGCACTAAAAGACAAACAGAAACTTGAGACAATGAAGTTTTTTCCTGTTACCATTATAGACCTATTTTCCTGTTACCATTATAGACAAGTGACAAATGCTAGGTGTTCGTTGCATCACAAAATTGTGTGACTTACATTTCTTTTAATATACACTTCAAGGGAGATTTTACATATAGAATTTTTTTTTATGAAGTACCATTTGAGACTAGGTTATTCTAGTGGTAAAGCTTATAGCGACTACTCCCTTGTTTGAAACCGTTATGATAAAAATTCTAATAGAGAATATAGGGACATTTGGTGTGTTGTGTCACCATTTGCAAGATACTTTTATTCAAGTGAGGAGGTTTCGAGGGTAATGCAAGTACACAATGGTGTAATCTTGTATGTCACTCTGTATCACTTCTTAACCAAGGCCGTATAAGTCAATGCATTACAACAGGAGTAATACAGATACATAATTCAGTTCATAATGGGATCCTGAATAGTATTTAGTTACTTGAATACATAGCAAGAAGAAAGAATGACACTACAACACCAAATTGTGCATGACTTGGGTTCTGTGACTTAAAATTGTGTATGAAACTCAACTCTCATAATCCAGGAGATCTGGATATACTGAAATTGGCTTCTGTGACTTAAAATTACCAATCACAGATTTGAAGTCACTATGAAGCGAGACGATGGATCTTTGTCGACATGCAAAAGCAACACTAAACTGTTTAATCTCGTCTTCGAGGTTTTGCCTCCTCTTTACTTCAGCATTCAAATCCTCCCATACCTTTCCCTTTTGGTTAGTAACGAGTTCGAGCTTCTCACTGGAAGTGGAAACTTTTTGTATCAATAAATCCCTCTCTTCTTTCAAGAGATGAAACTCCCTTTCTAAGCTATTATATCTATCCCTGGAAGCGACAAGAAGCTGATTATTGAGGTCCAACTCCTTTTCCAAGTTCTCGTACTTTGCCTGGATTGTTTTGATATCTTCATCCAGTTTCTTCTTCCAACAAGCAATTTCTCCACCCAGAGTGCAGTCCTTGATCATATTAAAAACGTATACTTAAAGAAAGGAGGAAAAGCGTCTATAACTATCAAGATGTTTAAGCTAAAAAAGTGATTCCCCTTGTGGGTTAGATCATGGACCTTGGAACTTAAATTATCATGAGCCTTGAACTTAGCAGGTAATATCCCATTGTCAGAATCGAAAAGCATGTAAGAATTAACAAGTGAGACCTTGAGAACTGTGACTGGGCAGCTACCTTATATTGGGAGCTGAGTGGCTGATTTCCTGAGTTTTCATCCTCTGATAATACAAGTGATGAAATTGTTCTATTCAACTTATCATAAAGCTTGATACGTTGCGCTTCAATTGAAGAATTATTTCCAGCAGAGGACTTATCACTGTGCATAGCTACCGAAAAGTGAGATTCCAGAGTTGCAAAAAGACAAGTACCAATTTCACTTGTTGTAGAGAGCAATTTGGCCGTTGCAGATTTCTCATTAGCTACAAAATTCTGTCCAAACGACAATGGAGAAAAGACATACATAAGAAAGAGATATTCACCATCCACAGAAATTCGCCGAACTTACACAATAAGTAGGCATTACCTGCAAAACTGAAAGCACATCCGTGTATATATCTTTACAAGTTGTGACAGACTCGCACAATCTTTGAGGGATCTCATGGATCAAGAGTGCCTCTTGCTGGAGTTCAG